GGGGAGGGGGACTCCCCCATAGGGTCAGAACTCTCGCACCCCCACACCGGATCCCAGGAGGGTGGCCCGTTGATGGTCGACCTCATGTGTGGTCCCAATATGCCCCTGGCGAAGGCATTTCTGTTTTGTGGCTGGAGGGTGCTGCCCATCGACTGGTCGTTGGACCCGGGGCACGGCCTGTCTAATCCGGTGAGGCAACAAGCACTGGAGGCTCCGATGCGGTCAGCAGCCTTCACAGCCGCAGCCCTGGACTGCTCCACGAAATCCATCCCCAGAACCTTTGCGGACGGCCGCCCAGGTCCCAAACCGCTGCGTTCTGAGGCCAAGAACCAAAGGCGGGTGGATGTGGACAATGCGGCATGTTCCTGGATCCTGAAGCAGCTCCAGGCTATAGCAGACGATGGCAGGGAAACCCTGCGGGAGAACCCGGCTCGAAGCCTCCATTGGTCCCTACTGCAGGAGGAGAGAATGATGGAATCCGGCCTCTGGTACGATACGACGTACTCGGCATGCGTTTTCATGTCAGCGCGTTGTAAGCACCAGCGGCTGCGGCACAACATCCATGAGATCGAGCTGATTCACCCCCGTGAGTGCCACCACCAGCATGCAGCCTGGGAGTGGGATCCTTGGGAGGACACCCAGGGGCGACACCAGTTCCCATCCAAGGAGGAGGCGGAGTATTCAGCCACCCTGGCCTTCGCAATTGCAGTCTCGGTCAGTTGGTGGGCGGTCCGAGAAGGGCATGCCCGTCTCCACGTGCCTCGGATGCCGCCGCTGGAAGCGTGTGGCCGGAGGCAACACTGGCTGGACATCGATCCCAGAGCTATGCGTGGCTGGGCCATGACTCCACTGGCCATCACACTCGGCTTGCCACCGCTGCATCCCGAGGAGCGGGCACGGCTGCCCACGGTGGTACGAGTGGCGGATGTGCTCGCAGATGGTAAACTGCCCCTGGACGTGGTCTACGTGGGTCAGGGCCACCACTCACACCGGGTCCCACGGTCTCAGTGGGCATCACCGTTCGTGCAGGGGCACACCTGTACGACGGACGACTGGCTGCCGCTCTACGTGGACTTCGTCCTCGCCAACTTGCAGGCGGAGCTGCCTGCGCTGCAAGGCAAACGGCTGGCATGCGACTGCGGCCCGGACGGTGTCTGCGAGGCAGATGCGCTGGCCGGGATGGTCTTTGATGCGACCCATCCGGATGCCGAGGCCAGCCTGCCCAGAGTCACTGGGCGGCGGCACAGGCAGGCCAGGGGCTCTGTGGTCAGGGCGGCGACCATCATGGGATCGCTCCGAGGCAGTGACGCCCTGAAGTCGATGTCACTCTGGTTTCCGCAGGAGGATGTAATTTTGGCCTTTCGCAAGCTCTACCCGGCAGAGTGGTTCCAGTCTTTTCAGTGGCCCATGTTGGAGGACCTGTTGAACAAGGAACCCTTTACATGCTACCTGGACTGGCGCCAGAGTCGTGGGATGGAGTGGGACGGACCCCTGGGGCCACCCTCTTCGTCCAATGCTAGTCGGAGGCGGCAGCGGTTGGCGGAGGGGAAGCAGCATGGAGCCTACAACCACAAGGCCTCCATTCCACCTCTGGTCGGATATGGGCTGGAGCCGGACGCCCATTTCGCCGCATCCCTGCAGTGGACCAACACGGCAACCCCGTTGGAAGTCCTTCCTACGTTGGACGACGACCTATGGTACGCGGCCAGCATGGTGATGGAGAATCACGACCTGAAGAGACGCCGCCAGGCGTCCATCGGGGCCATCAAGGAACTGAAGCGCAGGTGGGCACCGGTGTCCAAGCACCTCGTGGCCTTCCAGTCCGAAGCTATCCGAGGAGTTACCTCGAAACGCGATCTGGGTTTGCTGGGGCTCTTCGTCGTCCTCATGCAGTGGGGCGACTTCGCCCTCCCTCACGGCTTCATCAAAGGCCTTCCAGCAGTGGGCTATGCCCCGCATTACGGAGTCTTCCCCCACCAACCCGTCGAGGCGATCGCCCACTCGGAGGTACTGGCTGGCTGGGAGGAGCACAACGCCGCTACTATCGCAGGAGTGCGACCGGGTTCCACGGACTCTTTCGTTCTGGAGCAGTCCACAAAGGACCACAAGGAGGGGTTTTGCACCCCCCCCATGAACCTGAGCCAGCTCAAGCGGTATGCCAAAGGAGACCCATACCGGCTTATACCTCGCTGTGTCATCACACAGGCGTCTGGCAAGCAGCGTCTGATAGACGACGCAGCACGGGGCGGGCAGTCTGCATCGTCCAGAGATGCCAACAAACTTGTTTTGTGTACGCCGCTCCGCCCAGCGCTCCACGTCCAAGCCGCGGCAGCCTGCCTTCAGGAGTGCACCTGGGAGCGGTTCGCGCAGCAGGGGCAGTGGACAGGAGCTGGGGATGATTGGCCGAATGCCTACCGCCACTGTCCCATGTCACGACAGGAGGCCCTGGCCTGCGTAGTAGTTTGGTACCACCAGGATTGGCAGGAGCCGGCCTTCCAGGTATACCACGCCCTCTTGTTCGGCCTTCCGTTGGCGGTCACCTCCTTCAACCGCTACTCCCGGATGGCGGAAGCTATGGGCAGGCGCTTTCTGGCAATCATGGTGTCCATGTATTTCGACGACAGTCACATTACAGACCGCGCAGTACACGGCCCATCAGCCCAGTGGAGTTTCGGCGCCCTCAACGACCTGCTGGGGACCCCGTTCGCTGAGGAGAAGCGCCAGGGAGCTGCGGATGTCGGGACCTTCTTGGGGCTTGATTTCGATCTCTCGGAGGTCCACACACATGGGCGCGCGCGGTTTTGGGTTCGAGAGCGACTCGAACAGAAGGTGCTCACCTTCATGCGTGACGCCAGGAGGAGCGGGAAGTTCACCCCGGGTCAAGCTGCGAAACTCTACGGCATGGTCAACTTCCTGGAGCATGGCCTCTTCGGGCGCATTGGCTTGGGCGAAATCCAGGCGTTGAAGGAGCACCAGTACGGGGGCTCCAGCAAGGCCAGCGCCAGCCTGCTGGAGGCTTTTGACGTGTTGGAGGCTGTCATCAGTATGCGCCCCAGGAGAGAGCTGATGGTCCTCCCCATGGATGTGCCGAGGGTGGTGGCCGCCTCGGACGCGGCCTTGGAGGCACCTCGTCAAGGATCCGGCGGATACCACTTGGTCTTCCAGGACGGCGGCGTGCAGATTCGGGAGGCCTTTGTAGCCATCATCCCCGCGCAGACCTACGATATGTGGGGACCAGGAGACCATAAAATAGCCCAGTTGGAGCTATTCATGGTGGTGCACGCCCTTACGGCGAGACCCGACCAATTCCGCGGGAGACGCGGAGTGTGGTTCATCGATAACATCGCCAGTCTTATGTGTTTGATCAGGGGCAGGAGTGACAACCCCGACTTGGCCAAGATGGCGACGTATATCCAGTGTTTGCTCTTTGCGTTGCGAGCCTCACTCTACTGGGAATACATTCCATCCAAATCCAATTGGGCTGACGCGATCAGCCGCCTGGGACCCAGTGACCCATGGTACAGGGCCAACCACTTCAAGTTGAATTTCAGTCTTTTCCCTCCAGCTCTACTGAGGCTTCCGTACCGAGCAGTGATTACCTTTGCTGAGTTCCTGTGAGTGCATTGGGAGAGTTTGTGAAATAGGTGGTGAAAGTAAGTGCGTTGGGAGATGTATCCTGCTTGATGCAGGGCATCCAGAGCTTATCGGGGGTAAACCCGATGTGCCGAGGAAATCGGCGAATTGGCTGGGCCACAGCATGAGGAAATTCATGCTGTGGATACCAATGCAAATCCCACAGGAAAAGGTGGGTTGTCAGTCTATCAGACTCGTGTAGCATCGCTGGAGTGAAAATGCTGCGGTGCTGTTTATGTCAAACCTCCTTGGGAATGTAATCCTGTATCAGGTTGGAAGGCTTGGGTTTACAGGCTTCATTCTGCAAGGAGAGTATTGGATCATGCGGGGCCTTTTGGCTCAAGCATGATCCAAACTGGCTAAATTTTAACCCCACCCTATCCCGCCCTAGATCACCGGCCCCCCTAGTTGGGACGTCCGTGATCTTTGAAGAGCGCGCCGCGCTTGGGGAATGCCTGGGGGACCAGGCCCCCAGTCAGTCAGTTAAGCTCTGTGGTGGGAGATGTATCCTACTTGATGCAGGGCATCCAGAGCTTATCGGGGGTAAACCCGATGTGCCGAGGAAATCGGCGAATTGGCTGGGCCACAGCATGAGGAAATTCATGCTGTGGATACCAATGCAAATCCCACAGGAAAAGGTGGGTTGTCAGTCTATCAGACTCGTGTAGCATCGCTGGAGTGAAAATGCTGCGGTGCTGTTTATGTCAAACCTCCTTGGGAATGTTTTTATATTTTTTTTGGGGGGGTTGGGTTGAGCCCGGCAGTGCCTTGGCCATGTGGCAGATTCGAATGATGGGCCTAAACGCATGCCGCATACCAAAGGTGTGTGTGAACTACCAGGCTGCAGGCAGTTCGAAGCAGGCTCAAGTCCCTTTCCAAGCCGAGGGGTCAAATCGTGCACAGAAAGCAATGTGCTCGGATGAGATCATTATTTGTTTCGGCTGCTTGGTTGTGTTGCTTGTTATTTGCGCCTGGCGAAAACACTTGGTGGCAAGCTCTTGGCAGCCTCAAGAACACCGAAATTGGCCAGCCGGCGGTTGATTTCAGCTGCGAATCCCTTTTTTAGAGCGCTTGAATCTTTGCCGTTTGAAGCATGTTAGCCAAGCCCCATGGCTTGATTTTCCTGGGAACGCATATCTAGCTTGTTCTCAATTGGGAATATGGGAATGTGTGCAATAGCTTGCCCAAAGAACAAGTCTCAAGCACACAGTGCTCATACGCAATCACTTTCTGTCAAGCCAACATATGTTCCACGCCCGAAACAACCGTTTTTTGTTTTTTCTCGGGGGGAGTGTGGACATTTGTTGGCTTGTCAGAAAGTGATTGCGCATCAGCACTTTGCGCTTCATTGAGAACCAGCTTGCGAGGTGCTGTTCCCATTCGGCCACGGCCTGTCCTACACCACCTTCAGCTGCTGGCAGTTCAAAGCATGGGCAGGGAGGTAGCGGGGTTCAGGATGTATTATGGATGTGTTGAAGCTGCCCTAGGCATCCGATATGCGCGGCATGCCTTGAACCAAACTGACTTACAAGTCTTTGTCCGCGTTGAGCTGTTTACCGTAGCACTGCCTTGCATTGCTGGGCTAAAACTGCAAACCATGGTTTGCGTAGCTCGGGGCAGCACTCACCGATTGTTTTTTTTTCTTGGGAGCCGCCGCGGGCCTGCAAAGTTGAGTCACTTGGCTCTTGATGTTTGTGCGTGGGCGCAGGCGACGCACCAGCGCATCGATCTGCCGATTTGGGCAGGCTAAAATTCCACGTGCGTTGATGCCTGCTGTTGAGGGATGGGGGGGGGTGCGAGTGACTGCATCAGTCTAAGCTTGGGGTTGGGCTATTGGGGGTTGAAGCCAGTTCATCGAATGTGAGGTAGGTTCCCCCCGATGTAGCTTGGCAGTTGGTTGCATGTTTAACCTTCTTTGTGGCTTGGGTAGCTTAGGATCACCGCGGAGTCCTTCCCCCTTTCGGGTAGCAAGGGCCTTCCAAAAGGGCCACCCACTGTTGAACTTGAAAGCCACTCAAGGAGGCTGGCGCGAACTACAGCGACCTCACTTTCCCACACTGGTCTTCTGGAAGTTCCCGCAATTGGTGAACAATCATTTGCCCAGGAAACAAAAAACACAAAAAAAGACAGACCAGACGAAATGAAAAAAACAGCATCCTGAGTAAATTCTGCTCATCGATTTTTCCAACGACCAGCCTGTTTTCCACGATCCAAGCTGGCAGCTTGCACCCGGTTCCGCGCCGGTTCCGAGGTTACGGCGCCCTGTCCATCAGCCCGTGTGGCGCGGAGTGCGCCTCGGCCGGGGGCCCCAGGGCAGCGGAAGGCGTCAGCTGAAGGCGGTCAGCTGGTCGAAGATCGCTGCATTCCTCGGTGCATTCCTCGGTGCTTCCAAGCATTTACCGGTGACTCTAGGATGAATCCATCAAAGTTGTGAAAAGAATGAGGACCTAGCAACACGGGTGTGAAATTTCAATGTGCTGGATGCTGGCACCGTATTTGCATTCTTGTGGGGTGTAAAGTAGCGGCTCATGGAGTGGGCACGGCCCGTTTAGAAGAGGTACCCAGAGAAAAAAAAGGGATAGACCGACGACACATGGGCTTGCCTTTTTTAGAGGGTACCCTGTTTGGGGGTTTTGGGGCTTTAAACGGGAAACCAAAAGGAAGACCACCATTTGGGGGGTCCACAAAAAAATACGCACCCATATCTCGCCAATGCATACAAGCATTTGCAACTGCGTCGACAATCCTTTTCCCCCCAATTGCCAGCCAAGCCTAGACCACAAGGTATCTCAACAAACGCAACGCCATGTTTTGTCCCCTTGGCCCAAAAACAACAACAACAGATGAACGCAACACAAATTTGAACTACCAAAGCTCTTGCCAATCTTAAGGGTTGCTTTTCGCAAAATCGTATAACTACCAGCCGGAAACAGCACATGTCTTATGTTGCGTAATACAAGCAGGGTTGACTTGGACAAGCCTATGAAAATGGGCAGCCCTCTGTTGATTTTTATTTAGTGTGATTTGTCGATCCAACAGGGTGTTTCCCAGTTCTACCAGAATAACTGAGCAGCTGGCCACGCACCCTCCACATGGAAACCTGACAGTCCTTTCGAGGAGAGCTCTTCAAAGCAGGGCTCTTCGTTCGGGTACCTGCGAGTGGGTTTGAAGTCCCGGCCGATCACTCCAGGTTCAGCTGGAGCTGCGGAATACAGGGCCGGTGGCGGGCGCAGAGGTGGTGCAGTTGTATCTTGTGCCCCTGGCCTTGGCATCTGGGTGCTTCTTTCTTTCTTGGCGCTTCTGCTCGTGTGTTCGATGTTGGCCCTCCCTCGAGTAGCATGGTTAGCATGTACGGCCTTTATCTATGCGATGTGTTTTTGTCTGTGTATTGTGTTTGGTTTTCAGTGGTTGTGTTATTGTATTGCTTGCTGAGTATTTAATTCGCTCTATGCCATCACCAATTTAGATATGTGCCTATTCATTTGTGCAACTAGTTGGGTGCTGTGCTTGTCATTTTCTGCATAATTGATTTGAGTTTGTATGTGTTTCTCAAGTTGATCGTAATTGTTGTTTCCTTCTCTATCAAGTTGCGTTGTCATGTTTAATTGTTTTGTTTGTCTTGATCTGTTGGCATTTTGATTGATCAACCATCCTCAAACGACTCCAAGATGTTTGAGTTGGATGATTCAGTGTCGCTGCTGCTACTGCCGTTGCTTGCTGGTTTGGGAAGGGGGGGTGAACAACGCTGTTTGCAGGGTCCTCCAAAGGCTTGCTGGCTGGTTCTATGAGAGCTGTGCGTTCTATTGTGTCCTTGTTGGGCTGCATTTGTCTGAAGGTTAGCGTGTGCAAAGTATCCCGCGTTGATGTTTGCAAGCGCTGGCGGTATCATGAGCTCACCTGTGATGAAGGCCCTTTTGAGATCCCTTACCTACCAGGCTCCAAGAATTTGATTTCGAGACTGCGAAACATAGGGACCACTGCTGGCACTCTTGGTGTCATTTCGAAGTGACTCTAAACGGGCTCATCCAAAAGAAGGCCCCTCACCTAGGCGTATCCCAGGGTGTCCAAGCCAATGAGTAAGCAGGTCCTCACCGTGGTCATAAGGAGGCTAGCCGCAGCACCCCAATGAGACCTGGTCGTCAAAGTCACCTGGTATGTGGTACGCTAAACGAAAAGACCCACAGCTTCTGACTTTGATATCCTCTAGAAGCAGTCAAAACAATGACCCTAGCATAACCATGGTTTGGGTGTCCAAGCCACTTAGAACTTAGAACCATGGTTAGAATCTGCCAAAGTTGGTCCAAGTGGAGTCGACAAGGCATCCACCAGCCCAGGTTTCCAGAGGGCCTGGGTGAGCCCAAACACGGCGTGCTGCGGGGCTTCCAGAAGGCCGCTGTCTCCGCGTGAGGTCTGTTCGCGCTTGCTGTATCCTAGCGCTTCGCCAGTTGAGTCGGTTGCCTGGTTCCCACCTTGCCCCCCTCGTGCCCACCCCGCGCCCCAGCAGTGTGTGCGTGCATGCGTGCGTGCGGCGCGCGCGCGCGCCCTCGCCGCACAAGCGCACACCAAAAGCCAAACAGACGAAGTCCGCATCCCCTGCATCCCCCCTCAGACCCCCAAAAGCCTGTGAACAATGACCAAAGCACATGGTATTTGCGATGCCATGATGCGGCGACATTTGCCAGCCTCCTTGTTTCATTGCACCCGTGCACCAAGGTTGGATGGAGTAAGCTCAGTTTGATGTGAATGTTTGGGTCTAAAGAACGCTACCAGCACGACCAGCACGTTGCGCTTCTGGACGAATGATGTAGCTATGTCATTTACATCTATTTGCACAGGTTCACACACACATGTTTTTGTACCTAACACGTGCGTGCTGCCCATGTGGCTCCTCCCCGATTGGAGACCCCCCAGTAGGAGAAAAGGCAAGATTCCAAGCACTTACAAGAAAGGCTGCGCTTCTTTTGCGCCAGGCTGCGTGCCAAACCACAAAGCCCTTTTAAAGGCCGTCTGGCTTATGAGGTCTTCCTGGAGCCCAACACCGCGCAGCAGGTGGAGCTGAAGCTGCACCCCAAGGAGCTGACGTTCCGTGGGTTAGATCACTATGGCCACGGCATGAGCGGCATCATTTTGCCTGGACTGTGATACGTGAAGCAGGCAAATATCGGAGTTCGAACATACGAAATCGTATTGTCTCGGGAAGGTAACCTCTTTAGGTATCGGCTTTCGTATGGGCCAGAATCAGCACATATCGTTTTCCGCTTTGGGCGGGCGACACTTTAACTGCAAATACAGTCAATGCTATAGCTGTAATGTCAACGTCGGAAGGATGCTGAGCAACGCGAACACCGCGCACGCGGATGGTGCGTGCACGGCACCCGCACTCGCAGATTCCGCGCGTTGGACTCGCGCTACAACGCGGGCGAACCTGCGCGCCATGCTGGCAGCCTGGGGCTGGCGTGCTGGAAGGGCTGGCTTAATTTGAGGATGCATCGAGCTGGGTAACTCAAGTTCAAGTGGAGCTAGAATGAAGTAAGCCAGCATGATGTTGTAAGACAAGGAGCAGATCCCAGGGTCATCTCAATCTGAAGCTGCGGGGTCAAGAGGCAGGGCCTGCCACACTACGTAATCTGAAATAATTAGCTTAATTCGAGGACACTGCTGGGTATGAGATGCGCCCTCTTCTGCGCTAGCTTGGGGCAGGACATAGTTTGAAGCAGCTTTCTCTTCGGTTTGTCCAGATGAGGCATGGTGTTGGAAAATAATCAAAATCGTACTGCTTTATCAAGGGATTTATATAGAGTGGTTGCTTGAATGCGGGCGCATCGCGCTAGTTTGTAGGAAGGTCATATGTCAGGACAGCCACACTCCGTTCTGACGCTAGCTGGTTGGAACCCGTATTCTGAAGCAACCTGGCAACAGGCAGCGCCAGCCACGCTAATCTGACGTGCTGGAAGGGCTTTCTTACTTCAGAGCACATCCGCGAGTTAGATAGAGTTTTATCTGGGCCGTCGTATTCGGCGGCATTTCTGAATCCTATGTTAATCATTAGCTTGCATTGGGCACCCCTCTTGGGCGCAAAGTATTGGCAGGTGGTTTATCAAGTTATGCAAAACGTACTAGTATTTGTTGCTGTTGTTTGTTTGCGACGGATCCTGACTTCTCCTTGCAGACACTGTTTTAAACCATGCTTCAATGGAGCCCCCAAACACCACGGCTCGATCTTATCAGAATAGCTCTTCGACCTTGCTTAGTCCATCGGCGCCCATTGCGGCCTAAGATAGATTCAAAAGGCACCTGGCGCGAACGAATCGCCACTTTGACCCTCGCTTTGCCGGCTCAGACATGCCATTTTGAAGACCAATATATTTTATTGCATTGGGCGCCACGTGATTCTGCCAGCCTTTTGTTTACAAGATGCCCTGCGACGAAAACACAGCCATCCCGCACAGTTTGGCTGGCAATGGCTTACCCATTTATTTTGCGTGTTTGCCTTTTCAATTAACTTGGCGCCTCTGGCTGACATGCTTTGCACAAACCTACTTGGATGTTCAGCCCGCTTAGCACGTAGATGACAACTTCGGTTCACTGGGACCGGGGCTCGCCCATGACCATGGTTCTTAAATCTGCTCACTAATTTACTGCAACAGCCAGGGTGAGTGTTGACCTTTGCCAGGACTTTGCTATCCATACCTCAGCCTGGACAGTGCCCGATGGGGAATTCCAGGTTCACGTGGGGTCCTCGATGCTTGGACGCATCAGTGCTTCATCGTGTGTCTGTGTCCGGGTTTTCCAAGACTCACCTGACACCAGGTTGCAAATAGATTGCATCCTATCACGTGGCATCTCTCTAGAGCAGGGTTTAAACTACATGTGTTTAGCAACTGTCATTCACATAAGAACAAGCAAGTCCCGCTTGTCCTGATGACACATTGTCTAGCGGTGCAGATGCTCCACGTAGGATATTGATCCCGCATTGCGCTCTGCGAAAGGAGCCGGGACATTCGCGCTGAAGGCGCGTTCACGCCGAAGGCGGGGACTGCTCAGAATCCATGCGATCGCAGCGGTGGGATCATGCTGAGGCTCTAGGGAACTGGCCTAAAGGCATAGAGTGGTTTTTCTTGCTCGGAGTCTTGGCTCTGGCTTGTCCAAGTGTGCCCCTCTGAATGCAAAGGCGGGGGAAGCACTGGTCAAGGCACTTGCCCCTGGCATGAACTCATGCAGCAGCCCGCCTGCTGCGCATTTGGGCCCTGCTTGGAAGATATGCACCATACGCCCCGCTCGGACGCAGGCCATGCTGAAGATCCAGATGTGAAAGGAGATGAGTGGTCTCGGGTCTCTCTGTGAGCCCTTCACTAGTTTTGATTCCCTAGTTGCCTAGTTTGAGGTTGGCAGGTGCCTTCTTTCAGAGGAAGAAGAGCCCATAGAGCCCCCCATTTTTCAGCAGCTCCTGGAGTGTTTCCCGCGCTCGCGGGCAAGCACTGCTTTAGCTTCATTGTGGAAAGGCTGGCAGCCGATGGCTCTGCTCCAAAACTCTGTCGCGGCATGCTGCTTATGGGCGTCGGATCCAGGGCGGCGGGCGGGTCAGAAAACAAACCCATCCACTTATTCATCGTCGATCGCCTCTATAAGTAGAGGGTTTGTGTTTTCCCCATTTGTATGGTTGTTTCTCAGGAAGCCAGGTGTGAAGTCCCCTAATGCAGCCGATGTAAGGGGCCTCGAGATTAAGAAGGGGCTTGCCGCATCGGAGAGCCAAGAGGATGGATATATTTGTTTGGTCGTGGGTCGCAAGCCTATAAGCACCCAGTCTTTAACGGCGCGCCTGTGCCAAGGCATCCCTACTGCTCGGAGCAAGATCGCTTGGGCGACGTCTTCGCAACTGCCGAGTTCGCTCGCGAAGGCGGCATGAGCCGTGCCGCGCGGCGAAGATAGACTTGAGACTCTCGAGTCAGGCAGCAATGACGTGATCCTGGGCAACGATTCCTGAATGGTATTTCTTGGTCGTGTTCGCTTGGGCGTCGCTTTCCGTTCCCCAGTGAGCTTGATTGATTCCTTTCTGGCAGAGCCTCGCATGGGGGGCCCGGGTGCCTTTGGAACGTCTTTTTTGTTTTTGGGGTTGTGCGTTTTAGTGATGGAACATCTTTTTGTGGAGGGGTGGGCAGGGCCCTGACAGCACAACCCACCTTTAGTTGCGCCAAAATATGGCCTGCCAGAGAAGCCTGCTTCTACAAAGCCCGTTCAGGGTGGGATGGGTCTTGTTATGTTACCAATGAACTTGCATTCAAGGAAAGCTGACCAAGATCTCTTTGTTGAACACTGATTGGCCATAGTTGGCTTGTTGGCAAAGAGAAAGGCCCTGACAGTGGGTAAGATACCACTGTTTAAACAAGAGCCTTGCCCAAGCAGGATGGGTGTTCAGGTCATTTATCCATATTCATCCCTGACGACCAGTGGGTAGACGTGCACTTCCATTCCTCCTAAACCGGCTGCAACCGTATGCCGCATATGTGAGGCTTTGGCTGGACACCTGGCGCTCAAATCGACAAGCACGCGGGAATGACAAACACGCGTGGAGATGATTGTCCATTTTGAATGTTGTTCTTGGCCAAGTAGTCGTCATTTCTTTTGGGCCCCAATGTGAAGGTACTTGGGCGCTTTCTTCGCAAGCAACTTGTGCTAGCAGGCATGCCCACTGTGAGACCAAGCATGTGTGTTGGTCAAGAGGCCAGGTTACGTTCGCAGACTTCCACTGGCGCCAACCGGCGATTGAAAACGACAAGCAAAATGAGCTCCTAACATGAAGAGCGAGCGGGGCGGGAGTCCTGAAGCGGGTGTGGTCTCTAGGGCACGTTTTGCGATAGGTAGGCTTCATAGGGCGGTGCCTTGTTCTGTTTGGCTTGTCCATGGCAGACATTCACGTCCAGCAAACGGATCTCAGAGGCCTTCCTGTTTTTTGGGGAAGCGCTTGCCAGGTTCCTTTGGCTGAGAATTGCCGCTCTAAGATGGCCACTCGCCAAGTCAATCCAAGGCAGTGCCACACCAACCAATTTGCGAAGACTTTCCCATCAACCCGTACTGCCCGGGGGCCCGGTTTGCCCGATGCGATTTGCGCCTTTAGACTTTCTTCGCAGGGAAAAATGAACATGTCCCTTAAGCTTCCCCGCAGGCTGAGGCTGGGAGGTATCATAGAGGCGGGCTTTCAGCTTGTGACTTCATCCGGTCTAAAGATTCTCTGTTCTCTTATTTGCTGTTGTTTCTACTTGTTTGGCTGTGTATGTGTTTGTGTTGTTGCCTTTGTTGATTTAGGTTTGGACTATGTGTTTTTCTTCGTTGCTGGTTTGGCGATTTCCATTTGCCCTTGAAAGAACCGATTCCTTGCCGTTGCGCACAGGCACCTGGATCAATCAAGCGCTTGTAGTGAAGACGTCAGGCTCCCGCAGCTTCCGTTTGAGTCGTTTCCCACAGCGCAGTTGCCAAGAAAGGCGCTATTTCCAGCACACGCCCTTTTGGGGCAACTCAAATAAAGCTTCCCTCGGCCGTTCCGTTCATCGCCACACATGCGTGAGCCAAGTTTGGGCGGCCTCATGACTTCATGGTCCGCATGTTTTCCATGGGTTTCCGGGCCTGCGAGGCACAGTGGCGAAGCCAGCCGGCTTTTGACGGAGGTGTGTGAACATCATGTGCTTGCCACAAAACATTCTGGGGTCAGAAAGACCTGGTTTCCCAAGGTCAAGAGACGTGAAGTCACACCTAAGGGCTGAGCCCCAAGCTCTGGACCGCGCAACACCCATCGCTGAGGCCTGGAGCGAACTCCAGAGCGAAACTTGGGCCTGCAAGCGAAGACAGCTGGAAGCTCCATGTTTGAGATGGAGTTAAGACATAAAAAGTGCTTCACTTGTTTGAAGCCTTCAGTGACGCACATGGGCGGAGGGTTTCACTTGGGCCCGGACACGGCTCGAAGGCTGTGTGTTGGTTCCCGGGGGTTGACGTCCCAATTCGCAGATGGCACCGCACTTTCACTTTGGTATGGGTAGGGATGGTCTTCGCGGGGTTTGGACAACGTGCAGGTTCCCTTTGACACGACCATGGCCCATAGAAGGAGTTTTGATGTGGCGCATATCCTTTTGATGTGCTCGGTGGCTGAAATTTAATTAAACAAAGCCACTCGGCAAGACGGCACAGCTAAAGCGCCTACTTTGCAGTCGGGAGGCCACGATTTATTTACTTCCGCCTGGTATACCTTGTGTGCTTTCCAAGCTTGGTAATTTGTTTTCAGCAAATAGGTGGTGAGATACGTAGTTGCAGAGGCACAGCCAGTGGCCTCATCAAGCGGGGGGGAACCTCAGCCATGACAAGGATGATTTTCTGCCTCCAGCTGCTGCATGATCATTGATCGTCCTGCTGACTTGCTGCTTTCACTGTACTTTTTGTGGGTGGCGCTGCGGTCTGTCAAGGCGTACGCGCCCGAGGGATCATACCGTGCCCAGAGATTCCAAAGGTGTCCATGAAACAGTTTGGTGAAACTGAACTTCACTGATGCAAGTGGTTGTTTTATCATGGTTCGCTGACTCATGGGCAGCGCCCGACTTTTTTCTTCTTTGGATTCACCAACATGTATCATTGAATGACATACTCGGCGGCAAGCGTGAACGGCGGGTTTGCCAGCTGCCGCTTAACGGCATGAAGGTGTTGCATACCTCAGCCGCAAATCAGGGGTTCAGAGGTTAATGCATCCATGGTAGGTCCGCTTCGCTTGAGCTTGACCTCAAGTTGCATCTCACTTGGGAGCGGTGGCTGAGGACATGGGGAGCTGGCAAACATGGACTGCGAGCAGTTTTGGGACCAATGTGTGGACATGCCCACCGCCTTGGTGTCCAACGTGGGCAGCTTCTGACGAACTCGTCAAAGGTGTTGTATAGTGTGTCAATGGTCAGAGCACTTGCCAACGTGTCCTTTGGTGATTGGGAGGTTCACAAATTATAGGCCACACACCTAGACACGTGTGATGTATGTGTGGTTTCGGCGCTGAGGTGGAAAATGTTGTGGCCCCTTTGAAAGGTCATGCTTGAATTACAAAATATCAAGCGAATGGCCTGCAAAGGGGCTTGAGAAATGACAAGCTCGGCCTGCATCATAGCTAGTTGCCATGGAACGAAAAGAGGCTGGCGGGGACTCGCTGAGATCGCGCACCTGTGCTCATACCTATCACTGCCTATCAAGCTATCACGGGGCAAGGGGTTCTTGAAACTGACTCGGGGGATGGTCTACCTAAAATGTTTCAAAATCAAAGCATTCGGAGTATCAAGAGGCCCCCTTGCTCGCATAACATCCTTCAACCCCAGAAAGCTGCCCTGCCTCGATGTTTGAGACCCTGCGTGTTTTGGGTACTGCCAAATTGCTGTTGAGTCGCCCCCACGTTCTAGACTGCATAGCTGCCATCCATCAGCTTGTGGGCAGGGTCTCCAAAATGTTTGTGGAAAATGACATGGGACTGCTTGCCATCTTTGCGCCTCGGCGCCCTTCCTTTGACCCTTCTGGCCAGTCTGGCACTGCTCGGCTTGCGTGCGCCCCCGCAGGTTTCAGGGGCAAGTTCATGAGGAGACGTGGGGGCAACAAGCTCGCCCCTTGGCGTGCATTGCGCTGCCGCCTGGTTTTCAGAAGCCTAGGTTCCCTATGTTCAGCGGGTTGGCTGAGATGTTTTTCCCGAAAACAGGCCCCTTGTTCTCTACTACCAGGCAACGGGGAGCACGAATTTGAGCATAAATTAGCTTACTATGTTGAAGGCACCCATTGTGGTCGTGGCTCAGTTTCAAGCTTCCTGTTCCACTTGACTTTCAGTTCATTCAAATACTCATTGGTCCCAGCCACGCTTGGCGTGGCTTTCCCTTTAAGAGCTGCCGCTCGCTGTAGTGGTTGTCCAGTTGGCTTTGGCAGTGACCAATCACAGAGTTCGTGCAAAGGTCAGTCCATCCTATTCTCGCTTCCCTCTCGTAGTGTATAGTATCGTTGAAATTCAGTTCAGGAAATAGCGCCGAAAGCCGAATCTATTGCCAAGTCATCCGCAGGCTGACTTGGCAGAACAGTTGAATCGAGCGCAACTCAGGGTGCTCGCTAAATTCTTGTAACTTTTCTCTGCAGACCCTGTACTTGTGTGAGGCAAGACGGTTTTAATTGGTGTTTTTGTCTTGGTTCTCAGGTGCCTGAGACATAAGTGATCTGCAACAAAAACATTTTTCACTTCCCACACGTCAGTAGGTCGTTTGCGGGTGTTTTCGTCTAACATAGGATCTGCTGCCAGAGTTCCATTCGCGTTGTGGACTGGACTGGTGTGCACCTTCGAGCAAAACAGGTTTTGGGATGTCCGCTCTTTTGCGCTTTCCGCAGTACCCCTCGTAAAAACAAACCAAGATGGCTTGCAAGCTGCAGTTGATCAAAGACCGTGTTGTGTCAGTCCAGTCACACACTCGAGCTGTCTTCTGGCAACTCACGCTAAGCCTTCTTGGTCGTTACTGGCCATCACTGGCCGCGGCCAA